GTATTTAGGTATAACTTTTTTCTAAGATACAAGATGTAAGCAAAAGAACAGGAAAAAGCAGATGACCACATTTTAAAGTCAGAAAGAAGGCTCAATCTTATCACAGTTTTTTCTTTTTAATTATTTTTCTTTAAAATATACAGACCCTGTACAACGGCTGCCCTCAGAGCAGCAAGTAGGCTAAAGCAGCATTAGCCGTGCAGCTTGGTGTGGGTTTAGCTGGGTAAAAACACTGAACTAATCAGTGGTAAATAATAATTAATTAGTAACATCTAATAATGATCTAATAATAATACTCGAATAATTATTAAGTAGAACGGTAATTGTAAAATAATGTGTGAACAGGGGTCAGACGGTAAGGCTGCTAAAGCCAAGCTGTTGTAATGCAGGATGACAGAGACAGTGAGAGGGAGAACCACACTGTCCGCAAACGGAGGTTCTCCCATTATTTTTGAATTTGTCCCTGACAAATGTTCACAGAACACAAGGCATTTGTTCTAAACTGTGACCAAGCAGCAAATGTTTTACAGCCACATCCAGTTCACTGCAACATGTGCTCTGACGACAGGTCTGTGAAAGGATCACTGGGAGAGACACTGTACCCTCAGCTACAAAGCACTCAAAAACTCTGAAACAAAACATGCAGAGGATGGCAGATTTTTCTAAAAACAACCCCCCCAAAAAACCGATCTGTAAACCTATGGTGGCGGAATGTCTGACATAGAAAATGACCCTGCTGGGTTTCGTATGTGACCTTGTGTCTCCGTGACAAACTGTGTAATTAATGGGTTTACTTCCAGGTTAGGCTCTGAGTGAGTGTCTCTCAGGAATCTGCAGTTGTCCCTGAACTTTACTTTTACATGTTTGTTGGGGTATTAATGTATTTAGACAAGGGATTAGGTTTTACTGGTAGTCCCAGAGATGGAATGAACAAACAGGGGTTAGGTGTGTTTGATATACTGGGCCGGTGAGTAAAGAAAATGCTGTTCATAATGGTCTAACAGGACTATGAACACAACATGCATAGGTTAGCTGTTGAATAATCAGGATTAATCATGATTAAGATGGATAAAATACATTTATCTAGATATATATTTGTACATATGTCACGTATATATGTATGTATATATTTATTTATGTGTAAATATACACTTTCCCATTGTTATCCAACCACCTCTAGTAATCCCAGTTTAGATCTGCACTGTTTGTGCTTCAGCAGCTTCATAAATAACAGGCTGCACAGCAGTAACAAGAAAAGGTCATTATGATCCACTTCTGGCTATTGTAAACAACGGTGTGGCTGAAGTGCAAACGGGTGAAACATCACAGAAACGTGTCTACACACAGTACACTTAAGCCTCGAGGATCAACAGCCAGAGTTTGACTTTCATTCAGCTCTTGTGACCTGTGAAGATGGTATCAATTTTGATGACACGCTGACTTGGCCCATCTCGAACATCGGGTGCTCTCGGTGCATGCTCTCTTTTAGATGATACAGTATGTTGTGCAGAGATTCACCAGGTACGGACGAGGAAATAAGCACAGGCAAACGGCTGTGTCTGTAGGCGGCAGGACAGCTGTTCTCTCATTGGCTAAATTGAAGACAAATGTAATTTTATTTAATTTAAAAAATCCTTAAATGTAATTTTATTTAATTTAAAAAATCATCACTCAGAAACCTTTTACTGAGGCTGCCTAATCTGATTAATCACAGGGTAGCTGTGGAGGTATCACGATTAATCATGACTAATCATGATTTTAAGAATTACAGTTAATCATGATTAATCAACATTTTTAATATCGTTTAAACTCTGAACTTATATTATCCTCTGACTCTCTGTGCTAAATGCAAACCCACCCACGTCCAGCCCTCACCTACCTTCCTCCCAGACTGAGCTGGAGCTCACGAGGACTCGGACATAGTTAATGGGATTATGGTAATATAATTTTGTGACGCTGACCCCGGGCTAGTGCCAGGTTTCTTCCACATCCTTAGACAAAGGCTGGGAGCTCACCAAGGGTTTCAGCAAGCCGGCCAAGCTGGGCCTCCTGGCACAGACTGATGTCCTCATGGGGCCGGTGCAAGATGGATGGCTGTGGGGCAAAGTCTCACTTCCTAATTCTCCTCCAACAGTGAGCGAAATTGAAAGGTGACAAGTGGGGAGAGTAAAATTAAATATGATACTCAGTATCATATATAATGAATATGATACTGAAAAAGTTAATGTCGATGACTGCTGCACATGTAAAGCATAATTTTAGAAAGAAAGAAAAAAAGTCCGGATCTAAGAACTGAGCTTAATCAGATCGTAGTAGTTCTTGATCTGAGAGTGTTCCTTCCATGGAAACCAACGTGTGGTCTAACTGTCTGTCCACATGATTCAGCCACAATTTCCTATAAATGTGTTTTGGTGGTTCGACACAAAGATACAGAACAAGGATTTTATTGACTGAACTGAATGTGTTAGTCAACTGTCTCAGTTCATTTTCTAAACAGACGTGACAAGTATGGGCCTTAGAAACTGTAGTAGTACACATTATATATTAAATACATAAACACATTTTATCACATATTTATATTCCTCTATCTTATTTCAACAGAAACTTTTTAGTCATGTCCTATTATTTCCTTCACAGATGTAGCTTTTTCTTTACGCTCCCTTACAATCCAGCCTTTATGAGTTAACCTGTTCATTGACAACCACCTCAGAATGACACGTGTACAGTGTGACCTCATCATTACTTTGCTTTTGTGGCTTTTTACGGATGTGGTTTTTAAAAAGGTTTTACATTTTTAATATTACAAATGTGACTGACTTGTGTTTTTACTGTCTTTTTAAGGAGTGTTTCAACTTTTCCGGAACATTGTAGTTTTAGTGACCTGGATGTGTCTTGTGTGACCAAAGTTCTTGCGGCTCTCCTTTTAGTTTGCGGTATATTTTGTACTCGTGACCGTGAGTTTATCAACAGATACCCCCCTACTCACCCACCCCCTGTTCCTTTTGTTTTCCTCTTCCTTTGCCTTCAGAAAGACCACCCATAGGGTTCGGAGGGGACCGACGTCTCTGCGGAATAATAATGGGGTCGTCCTGGGAAAGCTGCCCACCAAAAAAAGGAAAAAAATTGCTCTTGTTTCCGATCCTTTCTCAGAAATATTCATCAGGACGCTCCTGCTGTTTGGGGTGGGAGGTGTGTGTGTGTGTGTGTGTGTGTGGGGGGGGGGCAGCCCTACCACGGCCTATCTACTTACTGAGTGGGGTGCTGTGCTACTGCCAAGACCTTCGGAGCTGAGGTCAGCAGGCTGAAGCTCGTGCTTTAGAAACATCTTGCCAATCTATTTCATTTACAAAATGTAGAGTCTGAAAGTAGAAGAACACGGCTGCTCTAGTTCTCTGTGTGTGTGTGTGTGTTAGAGTGTGTGAGTTTAAATGCTGTAGAACTTACTGCACAGAAGGTTGTTAAAGTGGGACAACATTTCAGAAGACTGCTCGTGTCATCATCTGAACATCAAGAGGGAAAAAAAAACCTTGAAAACCTGACCTTTGTTTACCGCGGTTGACCTTTTACTTGTTAGCCACACGGAACTCGTTGGCAGCTGTTGGGCTTCGAGGCAACAATGTACATCAGGAAACAATTGAGTTGTACATCCTGTGTTTATTTACATCTGGACACAGTGGTTTACTGCTGCCAATAGCATGACATCAAACTTTGAATTTCACTGTATGTGCTCTTTCACTCTGAGAGTGATTCTTACTCTTTCTTCGCAGAAAATGTTTATGTCCACAGAAAGGCAAAAGTTTGTTGAATTCAGGAGGACGTACTCCTCCCCCTTGTCTCCCCCACCCACCCCCGAGCTGTCATTGACTCCCTTTGCCCTGTTGGGCCCCGGGGGCCCCTGCTACTTTGCTGCCCAGCTCCAGATCTAAATCGCTGGAGATCTTGTGAAGTATGTGCCCTTGGGCTCTCTGTGGGAGGTTTGAGGGAAGGCCGTCAGACATCTTGACAACAGAATGTGGAATTAGTTCTGTCAGTGACACGACCAGCTTAAATAACAGCTACGTTGATTATTATCTACCTTTCTTATGTCAGCAAATTCTCACAAGTCAATTTCTGTCGGATGATTCACCAGTCGTGATGCAAAACAGAAAATAAGTGGAAGACAGTGGATGAAAACATCAACTGTGGCCTCTTATTTAGCGTTGATGCAAATATTGACCACTGTGGTGAATGTGGTTCCTCTCTGACACATGATCATCAGACTGTGAATTTCTTGAGGTTTTCCGTTGAAATAATGAATTGTTTTTCCCACTAAGCACATACTTGTTTTAGTTTTATTCACTTTTGATTAATCCTGAAGCAGAAATTACAAAATCATTTTGAATTGTTTTTGTACTGTATCTACAATGACTGGTAAATAGGGCTAATCATTCCACTCTTGTTTTGAGTAAAGCCTGTTTTGGAGTCAGCTCAACATGAAAAAAAAGAAAATTCTTGCTAGTCATCACAGTGTGATGAGGTGAAGCAGTGGGGGCGGCCAGGGGGACGTTTGGTCCAGCTGATGTGAGGAAAGAGACGTCATCTCTGAATGTGCCTGGCATTTCAACACACCGCCGTAGGACCTGATTGTGTTTACACTGTCACTGATTTATTAAGGTCACTTCTATTGCTGTATCAAATGGCCGGTAATGGATAAACAATATGCAATGAGTAGTTTGTTTCTTTAACCGCTCATGTATACAAGCAGGGGGAGCCGGGTGGACATACATCTTTCCAATGGGCCGTGGCACTAGTGGACCCCTGACCTCATAGTCTGAGAGCCGAGAGGGACCCCACCCCCGCACCCCCAAAGATAACCAAAGTTAACTGCAGAGTCTGTCATTTAAAACACTTATATTTGTTAGCATTATTTAGATCCCTTTAAAATATATGTATATTTAATGCTGAGCTGAAAGTGTAGCTAAGAATGTTGGCGTGAAAAAAACAATTGCACTCAGTTTCATATATTTCTCAGTGTTTCGTTTTTATTGCAAACAATATAATACAAAAAAAAGGTAGGCTTTTAAAACAAGGGCATGTTTATCTACGGAAACTGCATTAAGATGACAAAATGAGAACTAATGATAGAGATTATAAAATGTGGAACAAAAAAAGTATCTTGTTGATTCCAGCAATTTCTTCACAAACTGATGTGGCCTCCATTGACATCTATATACTGGTTAGACGGAAGCTTCCAGTTTTTCTTCAGAGTCATCTGTACACAACTAGAGGGAACTTTTATACCAAAACATTTACAAATGATAAATAAACAAATTTCTACCACATGTCAGCATACTTTTTCACTGAACGCTCAGTTAGCTGCTGAGGAATTAAAAAAAAGAAAGATAATTGCAAATAGTTATTTTCAAATAAAATTAATGCTAAAAAATAAATTAGGGGGAATAAAAGAGTGTTAGGAAAAAGAGAATGACTGAAGACAACCACAGCTCAGACCTGCTGGCTGCTGAGGAGAGGCAGGTAAATATGGCCACTTCCTGCATCCCTTCAGCAGACCTGTCCTGTGGTTTTGGCGTTGCAGTGCCAGCGGACGGAGCCTCGCTGCTGCGGCTGTAGAGGCACCGATGGTTTCAAGGCTGAACCCGGAGAAAAGCGAGTTATGTTCAGTTACATCTAAGAACAAAGTTAAGGCCTCCAGCTTTAGGGCACCTGCTATAGGATTTAAGCAACTGAGCTAAAGCAAAAAAAAAAAATGACTAAGAGAGAAGAGGAATGTTTGACTAATTCTCTGATGACACAGTCATATCATGGTCAAATATTAAAATCTGTTATCAATGTGCATCGCTCAAACCTTGCATCTCATGGAAAAATACAATAAAATATGTACAGTACAAAAACATTCCGAAACACAGCGTAAGCTATGACAGGGTGGCAGTGTCAGGAAACCCTAGGTTTTATATTCTCTGTTCAAAAATACACTTGTCAGAAGTAAGGCCACTGAGGGTTTGTCTCTTCTCTGATCCACATTGCTGCTCCGTAAAGATCTGTTAAACCTGCGAATCACGACGTCGATGACACTGATTACAATGAGAATGGCAAGAGCAGAACACATACACAGTACATACTAAAATATTCATAACCAGTATGTCCTCACAGAGGAGTTGACTTTTTTTTTAAACATTAAATCTAAAAAAATATAATCACAATTCCAACCGATACAAAAGGCACTGTCGTGAGCCAATCCAAAGATATATTTTCAGTACTATAAAAAAGTCTTCGTCAGGTTTTTTTTCTAATGGCAACGATGTTTACGTGTGCGTATGTTTTGGTGTGTGTGTGGGATGCAGTGGCGGGAAACGGCCACCGGGCAGTTAGAGTCAAGTGGTGAGTGTTGTTGAGTCAGTGCTGAGGCTGCCTCCTCACGGTCTGGACAGTTGTGTGTAAATGGGCTGCTGATCCCAGTGCTGAGGGCTGTGGGTCTGGGGCACGGAGGGCACGCCGGTGGTGTCAGCGATCGGGGTGTACATGGGCCTCTGGCTGGAGCTCATGTAGCTGAAGGTGGAGTAGAGACCGGAGCCCTGACCGGCTGCATGGCTGTAGTAGGAGTTGGCACCACTTTGGTGGTCTGAATAGTCATACTGTGCTCTGGTGATGGAGGGGTAGGAGGAGGTGCTGTAGTGCTGCAGGTTGAAGGAGCCGTAGGTGATGTGCTGAGGAGAGCCCTGCTGCTCACTGTAGTGACTGGGACTCAGCTGCTCTGTCTTGATCTGTGTGGTTCTTTGTTGACCTTGCTGACCTTGCTCACCTCCTCCGCCCAGTGTGGTCAGAGAGTGCTGCTGCTGCTGCTGCTGCTGTTGCTGGCGCGGGCGCTGCTGGTGCGG